GAAAGAAAGAAGAGAAAGAAAGGAAAGAAAGGAAAGAAAGGAAAGAAAGAGAGAAAGGAGAAGGAAAGAGAAAGAAAGGAAAGAAAAAAATGCAAGAAAGAAAGCATGAAAGAAAAGAAAGAGAAAGGAAAGAAAGACAGAAATAAAAAGAAAGGAGAAAGGAGAAAGAAAGGAGAAAGAAAGGAGAAAGAGAGAAAGGAAAGAAAAAGAAATGAAAGAAAGCATGAAAGAAAAGAAAGAAAGGAAAGAAAGAAAGAAGAGAAAGAAAGGAAAGAAAGGAAAGAAAGGAAAGAAAGAGAGAAAGGAGAAGGAAAGAGAAAGAAAGGAAAGAAAAAATGCAAGAAAGAAAGCATGAAAGAAAAGAAAGAGAAAGGAAAGAAAGACAGAAATAAAAAGAAAGGAGAAAGGAGAAAGAAAGGAGAAAGAAAGGAGAAAGAGAGAAAGGAAAGAAAAAGAAATGCAAGAAAGAAAGCATGAAAGAAAAGAAAGAGAAAGGAAAGAAAGACAGAAATAAAAAGAAAGGAGAAAGGAGAAAGAAAGGAGAAAGAAAGGAGAAAGAGAGAAAGGAAAGAAAAAGAAATGCAAGAAAGAAAGCATGAAAGAAAAGAAAGAAAGGAAAGAGAAAGAAGGCAAGAAAGAAAGGAAGAAAAAAGACAGGAAAGGAAAGAAAGAAATGAAAGAAAGAGAAAGAAGGCAAGAAACAGAAAAAAAGAAAGAGAAAGACAAGAGAAAGGAATGAAGGAAGGAAAAGGGAAAGAAATAAAGAGGAGAGAGAGAAGAGGAGGGGAAGGGAAGAGAGAAGAGAAGAGAAATTGCTTAGCTCCTTGGAAGCTGGACCCTTGCAAAGCAAGCAAACTGAATCAGTTTTTTACAGAGTGCTAAAGGGAAGGCCGCCAGTTTGGGGATACTGGTAGTCCTCAACTAACGACTACATAATTGGGATCACGATTTCCACTCTTATGTAAGACCGTTGTTAAGTGAGTCGTATCTGCTTTTGAATGGAAGCAAGGGGGGTAAGGGAAGGAAGGAGTTGGGAATGAGAGAGGGAGGGAGGAAGATGAGTGGAAGAAAGGGAGGGAGGGATGAAAGGACGGATAGAAGGAAGGCAAAAGAGAGTGGGAGGGAGGGAAGGAAGAAAGGAAGATGAGAGGAAGAAAGGAATGAAAGGGAGGAGAGAACGAAAGTGAAAGAGAAAGTGGGAGGGAGGGAGAGAGATGAGGGGAGGGAAGGAAGGGAAGAAGGAAGATGAGAGGAAGAAAGGGAGGGATGAAAGGAAGGAGAGAAGGAAGGCGAAAGAGAGTGAGAGGGAGGAAGAGAGATAAGGGAAGGGAAGGAAGATTATAGGAAGAAATGGAGGGATGAAAGGAAGGAGAGAAGGAAGGCGAAAGAGAGTGGGAGGGAGGGAGAGAGATGAGAGGAAGGAAGGAACGGAGAGAGATAAGAGAAGGGGAGGGAAGGCCATTCTACATGCAGACAAGGAGCCACTTAGATTTTGCTTCTGTTTCTCTTCCTTTTAGGGAACAAAGTGCTTTGTTCTCCTCCTTCGAAGGAATTCAGCATTCCCTTCTTCAACACAAGTAAAATCCTGCTTCTCCCCAGACAGAGACGCTGGCTGAAACCACCTATCATCCTGCCTGAGCCCCAGGCCCACCCAACTGCCCCTCTGGGCAAATGCCTTGCCCCCCCCCCACACCCCTGCCCTTCGACCCCCCTCCGCACCTGTTGGTTGTAGCAGTTGCTTCTGCAGATGTAGCAGTAGAATTTCAAGGTGGCCCCAGGGGGGGCTTGCAGGGGGGGCCCGGAGGGGCCCAGCTTGAGGGCCGGCGTGGTGCTGATGGCTCGGCTCTCGCTGCTCTGCTGGATGGTCACCTTCAAGGCGCCTGCATTGCTCAGCACCTGGCACAAGGGAGGGGAGAACGAGAGGGGGGCACAGCTCAACTCTCTGGCTTCCGCCAAAGGGAGAGGAAGAGGTCCTTCTTCCAGCCACATCTGGGCAGCTGTTTTGCACCCCTCGGGCACCTGGGGAATTGGAAAGGGACAACTTGCCACGGCCAACTCACTGCGGGACAATTTAACAATTTCCACGTCATTCTTGAAACCAATACAAAAATGTTCAATTTTGCCATTCACCTTTCATTCGGTCCCTCCTTTCACATCCTTTCTTTCGTGCATCCATTCCACCCTTTCTTTCATATTAATGTAACCCTTGCCACACAGCGAATTGTCCCGGAACAAGTTGGCTCATTGGATGTGGCGAGTTGGCCATGATGAATTGGATGTGGTGAGTTGGCCATGAGTTGGCCATGGCAAGTTGGATGTGGCCAATTGGTCATGATGAGTTGGTCATGACAAGTTGGATGTGGCCCATTGGATGTGACGAGTTGGCCATGATGAGTTGATCATGGCAATTTGGATGTCGCAACTGGGCCATGATGAGTTGGCCATGAGTTGGCCATGGCAAGTTGGATGTGCCCAGTTGGTCATAATGAGTTGGCCATGATGAGTTGGCCATGGCAAGTTGGCCATGATGAGTTGGCTGTGGTTAATTGTCACAGACCTTCTGGGGATGGTGCTAGCCACAGGAGAGCTCAGGGTCATTCCACCTACATTCACTCCCCCCACCATTTTTGGCTCACCTCTGAGGTCTTCTCCTCCTCTTCAAAGTTCTCCTCCGAAGCCTCCGCAGTGACCTCCCCTTCCCCAGCATCTAGGAAACAAGAGATTGTGAGGAAGTCTGGATTCGAACACAGAGACAGAAGAAGGGCAGGTGGTCTCTCCTTGGCAACATATAATCGAGCCAAAGGCAAACCTTCGCTCTGCCGAATGGTGGCTGGGCTGCCTGGCCTTCAAGACCCCTGCTTATTGAGCTGTAGAAAATTGGGAGTGTCCCTGAAGGTCATCCAGTCCAGCCCCTGCTCGGTGCAGGGAAGCGTTCTCAAAATATTTGGCTTTTCTCTTTTTCAAAGAACTTGTAAGAATATTTAACTTTATTTCTTTAGCATGTTTTGCTGTAGATCTTTATAGAGGTAGTCCTCGACTTACGACCACAATTTGAGCCCATTTATGTTGTTAAGGGTGACATTTGTTAAATGAGTTTGCTCCATTTTCTTGCCGCCGTTGTTAAGTGAATCACCGCAGCTGATAGTCACCCGGTTGTTAAGTGAATCTGGCTTTTCCCACAGACTTTGCTTTACCCAGAAGGTCGCAAAAGTGGGATGCCATGACCCCGGAACGCTGCAACCCGTCGTAAGTATGAACCAGTTGCCACGCATCTGAATTTTGACCCCGTGAGCATGGGGATGCCGCAATGGTCGTTAAGTGTGAAAAACAGTAGTACCGTATATACTCGAGTATAGGCCGACCCGAATATAAGCNAAAGCCCACTCCCCTTTTTCTCCTCTTTTATTTCCTATGGGAGGGGCCATTCACCATCCATCTGTGGCTTTACTCCCAAGTCGACCCTGATTTCTTAGTTGTTCCTTTCTTCCAGCAGCTCTGCACATGCGCACACTGGGAACAGGCTCCAGCTGTTCCTCTGCCTCACTGCTGTCCAGCTCCAAAGGCAGCTGAGAACTGCCAGACAGCCTTGGCCCACTCTCTGCCTCTGACACCGAGCCCTCATCCGAGCCTTACCCAGCCTCTAGGACCGACCCATGTTCCTCCCCAGCCTCCCCACTGTCTAAATCTGCTGCCAGCGCCATCCTTCTCTAATCAGAACTGATGAAGCTCCTTGGGTGAGAAGCAAAATGTTTCCTTCCTCCTCCTCAAGGGGGGGAAAACATTTCAGTTGCTTCAAAGCACCTTTGAGACAACTATGACCTGGATGATTGAGAACCTCCACAGACCTGAGAGTTGAAATCCACACATCTTCAAATTGCCAAGGTTGAGAAACACTACACTAGAGAAAAGTCTTCCCCAAACCTGATGCACCTCAGGCGTGTGAACTTCAACTCCCATTATCCTCAGCCTAAGGATTATGGGAATGGGCCCTACATATCTGGAAGCCTTCTGTAGAAAGTAGCTTGCAGGATAAAACAGATGTGATGTTCAGGGGTCCCCCCCCCCACCTAAGTAAGGTGTCTAAGATGGTGTTTGAAGAAGCAACAAATGACATCCTGCCCTAAACAATACTCTCTGAAGCTATTTGGACTAATTGGAAAATATTCATTAGTGCCAATGGAAAATGTTCTCTGAAAGCAAACGGCAGCTTCAAACGCATCTCCTCCGCCTCGTGGAAGCTGTTTTTTCCAGACGGAAGGAAGTGCAGTTGCTTTCTTTTTAAGGTAATGGGCTCATTCTTTCTTTGCTTCTTTGGCTTATGTTGAAGAACCCGAGTCAGTCCTCATTTCCCTCTAGCTGTAGGAGAAGAAGAGGCAGAGCCAGGAATTGGAATCAAGAGAAGTTGACAAGACAGCCTAGAAAAAAGGAGCACTGGGGGTGGCACAACAGCAGTGTTCCAGTATTTAACGGGCTGCCCCAAAGAAGAGGGAGTCAAACTATTCTCCAAGGCACCTGAGGGTAGAACAAGAAGCAATGAGTGGAA